GGGGGGAGGGGGAGGGGGAGGGAGCGCCTGCATCATGGGGCTCGGTGCCCCCCCCACCCCAAAATACCCCAATCTCGCCGGCAAAATACCTCGGGGCACCCTTGTTGCGCTCGCACGTGCTGAGGGATCGTCCTATTCCAGCCCTCACGTGTTAGAAACTCCTCATGCATCATCATGCCTGCGTTAGCAAGCACTGCCGCAACCTCCTTATATCGCTGCTATTCTTCCAGTAGAGAGAAGGGCTAAGAGGTGTGGTGCCTGTATCTGTTGGAAGTTAAAGGCACCTGTCTCTTTGCTATCCATCTTCTTTTCATTTTTGGGGTAGGTGCTATCCCTGTCTTCTCTTTGAAGTCTTAGGCTGTGCTGAGCTTTCTCTTGCCCCCTGAGTGTCACCTGGCACGCACTCGTTATATTAAATATCATTATTTTGAAATGATGTGCAAAAACGGACAGGGAATGGTTTCCTAGCCCTGTGAGAATTTCTGTAATAATGAAGGAAAAACCACTTTGCTCTGAGGCTTCCAGGGGAGAAATACTGATGTAGCAAGACTTACCACTAGTGGGGCAGTTGCATTCAAAGAGGTTGAACTATAAGCAGGAAATGGGCTCCTGTATTCTGCACATCTCCTGCCCACCAGCCTTGTTTTGTATTTGAACACTTCTCCTTTTCTCAGTCACTCACATTTGGTGTAAATATTCACCAACACAGGGATGTGAACCTAGATCGCACTCAGCCAAAACGTCAGTCATTTGTTAGTCTGTTTGGTTGTTCAGGCCCGAACAGATCATAAGGGAAGGGGGCAGAACTGATTTGTCTCCAACCTGAAACAAATCATGCGTCTCCTGAATCAGGGTCAAGCATAAAGCTAAAAGTCGGTACTCCTGTGCTCCCTGCAATTGAGATGTTATGGGACGACTTAAAAAAAAAAAAAAGAAGATGATGACTCCACCTTGGAAACTAGGAAACCTTTTCCATTAATGTTGTATGGAAAATTTCACCTTTGAGGAACTGGAATTTTCTCTCAAAAAATCACCAATGACTGCCTAATTTCTGTCAGCTGCAGGAGACAGCCACTTCCAGATCACAAGCAAAAAAAAATTAAAAAATAAGTATTTTGTTCCACCTTTTTTTATTTGTACCTCACAGGGAAGAAGGAAAATGATGAAAATCTCAGTATTTGAAACATAAAATACCAGACTGGACCAGACTGTAGAAATGCACTGTACAAGACAATCTTACATTGTCAAAAGAATTGCTGAGCTAGTTTAGTTGTCTACATAGTCTGACATCGATGTCCTTCATTTGAATACTGTCAGTAGTAGAGTGAGCCATGTGTAGGCATGCGCTAACACAATTTAATAGTAACAACTAACATCGTTTAGCAGGCTCAAGCTGTGTGTACTTCGTGCCACTGATGTCTCTAGTGGTGTATGGCATTGGCTCTCTAAAATAATCTATATGTAGCTAGGAACATTGTAAAATCAAACAGAAAGAGTGACTTGGAAACAACACCAAAGGTCTTTTTAGCACACTGTAGGAGCAATGAACATGCATCAACACCGGAAATGCTCATAACGAAACTGCTAAGTCGATAAAGCAGTGAATTCCTGTTGTCCCACCACGGAAGGGACACTGAACTCATGTGCAGCCCTGGGACCTGTGGGTATCACAGATCAGTCCACTATGTATCCCCAGTGATATTTAGAAGAAACTTTCTAGTTCCTGTATCTATTCATCAAGTACTGGAAAAAAATCCTAGTGGTGTATGGGGACCTTAGTGTTTAAAATGTTTTGACTATCTGCCTTGATTTGCACACATGTCATTTTAAAAACGATATAGATGATTTTTCAGTTTATGTGGAGGGCTTAACATAAATAATATCCCAATAAAAATAATGCGCTAGGTATGGAAGAAGCCCCCTTAACTGGAGTCCCTCTTCCCTCTTTCCTCTAGCAAGTTACTAAATGCTAGTTTGGGCAAAATGCTATAAAAGGTTCTTGATACACATCAGTTCTATACTGGCATATGTATAATAGTTCCAAAAATACAAAAACAAACTCTTCCATCCTTCCTGACTGGTAGACTATACCATCTAAAGCAATTTCCTTATATGTGCAAAATTAAATGTGTGTAATTTTTTTTAGGGTTGGGACCAAGGCGCTGTGCCAGGCTGTGAGAATAACTGTGGCAGAATCTGGTCCTCAACTTCTTAGTATTGGAATCACCACATTCAGGTAAAAGGCCTTAACATGTTTTCAGACATTGTGTATTAAGTGATTTGCCCAAGGCAACACCATGGCAAAATTGAGACAAGAATTCAGTATATCTCGCTTCCCAGTTCGGGCTCCTGTTCTGAAACAGCTAAAGATTTCCTCTCTGACGACTGTAATGACTATGGAGGACACTGAACGTCCCAAAGGACATATTCAGTATTCTGTAGTACCAGCACTGCACAGACCCTGCTGTCTCTCCGATTCTTAGTCTACACACACAAATTTATTTAATCAGTACAACTCTATTTAAAAGCAGGTCATTCCCACTCACTTTTAAGTGTAATCTCAAAGTCAAATAAATTGAGTTTAGCCACTGTTGATGTGATTTAAGATGTAACCAAA